TTACTCCTGTTTATCAACGTCATGAAAGCACTCAAGATAATTCCAAATAGTGTAGGTTATCCTAGTTTTACCTTTACAGTTGAGAAGCAGACCCATTATACTACCAACATTACTAAGACATTAAATTTGGCGGTTTGTGGGGATTTAGTGACTTTACAAGTTCGTATTCAATATGAACTGACATCAGTTGGAGGAACATTGAAAACCAGGGTGCATAAAACAGCCATTTCGTCCTAATATGGGATTTCAAGAGATCAAACCCAGGACCTTTAGGTTTTGTAGCCACCAAGTTACCAGTGAGCCACTGGGTCAGAATCCAATGATCATGGGCGCGCACTGCTGATGAGTCCCGTCCGAGACGAAACACCTATCCAGTGCTCGCAGGTTTTTAGTGTTTCTCCAACAGATGTCAATCCATGATGAACACCAACTTGGAAAATATTCAAACAGCTCTACATACAATTTCTAACTGCTTCCAATATATAGTATGAATGCAGGTATGAACTCATAGAAGTATATGACACTTTGAGGTTGTTAGGCATGTAAAAAGTGCTCACAGACACCGACCAACAACTGAGTATCATATATTTGGCATACTCAATTACAAAGTCTTACTCCCGCTCACCAGATCGCATTGATGTGACTGGTGATTCAGTGTTCCTGATGAACAACTTCGGCACATGACTTATTGACTAGACTCTACATGGAAAGCTTTCCTTAAGAAATTTCAAGATATTAGTATGCTTCTCAGACATAGTCCTACTCAAAGAATAGGAAGAAGCTATACTATCATGATATACAATCACTATAGGCCTATAATGTGTTGATGTTCAAGTACCTGATAGACAGGAAACGCATACTTCTGATCTACTCTTTGTTGGTCAGTTTGCTACACACATTCTGTATAGACTGAAATAAGTGCACCTAAAAAATACGATGGGCTTTTGTAGACCTACGCCGAAAAACCAAGTAGCAGTAGTAGTACCATCAAAATAATCAAGTGGGAGTCAAAGTCATAAATCGATAACCGGTGACTATCAGTGCTCTCGTTACATGTCTGTCCTATTTGATATTTCTATGAATAACTGCATAAATGACAAGAAGTTAGTGCTGAGCGTTTAACTTGACGAAACAACCCTAGAAATGAGCCGAATGTTCGTATTTTTGATCCTTTGAAGATGTTTTCACTTGTTAAAAGAAGTTTCCAACACTACCAAAATACTTGGATAGACTCATCAACATTAATATGGAACGGAGCATCACCTCCCAAGATTTTACATCTCATATCATCATAGCAAGTATTAAAGTAGATGACACATAAAGAGGAAAATTGGTGAAAAGCGGTAAACGTGATATGGGGATGTAGAGGAGAGGCTAGTCTGGAGACAGACCAATCAAAATGTATTTTATGTTATCACATCTGCAGTTGGACAGACACATACGACGGATCAGCCAATCAATCTGTATATTTGATGTATTTCCCTTTGTTCTTGTATTCCGTCTTTTCGAGCCCAATACACGTTTCTACACATCTATCGTGTCTTCTCCATTATTTAGTCGGGTCGGGAATTTGCTGGCTGACAGTCAATATCCGTGCATCGAGAGCGGTCATAGCAGTTTCCGAACCCTAACCAAAAAAGGAATGAGAGAATGCTGAATTCAGCATAACGATTCAGACGAAGATACGGTGCGGATACATCTTAGCCATATAGCCTAGAGTCTCCAGCCACTAATTTCTTTTGTCCTGCGGACCCCAACAGGCTAGTCTGCATCGCCCTACAGGGCTCAAACCGACATCCAAAGGACTTCCAGCAGAGATGCCCCGTTCTAGTCTGGCCAGTCCGAGCCCTTTCCAGCCTCAAGCTTCTTCGGCCAATATCGTGCGACGATGCAGATGGTGACTAGCAAACGCAACACATGTACCAGGCAGTCACATCAGTCGATGAAGGTTCACAACCACACCGACTGACTTACGTCGCCTGCCTAAAACTCTCTACCTGACTTCTGCGTTACTCACCTAGTGACACCATGAAACACGGTCTATGCTACGAAGGCGAAGGTGATCAAACACCTGAAGACTTCTCATGTCTTCTACCTTTAACGACCATGTTTCACAGAAACAGAGTAGAGGAGAGCAAACTGTAGCACAGTACACTCAAATCTTAATAGACAATCGGAAACTGTGGCGTCGCCAAAGATGGGGTAAGTTGAAGAGACTACGTTTATACGATTCAGGACCACACAGATATATTCACCCTTATTATTCTCAAGACTTTGACCACTTCGTAGTTCTATTCCTTTTTTCCAAACATTTTGGTCTTTGTTTTCTTATCTCACTTCCTCTGTGTATTGTTTTAGAGCATGAGGATTGGAATTCGTGACGCTATTCTATGTAAGATTCTATATTGATATTAACTCAGTCAATTTCCCAAGATTTCTTTCCACGAAACAGAAACTCAAGTAGGAGAGTAATGAAGCACAAGAAAAATATCCTACTCAATTTGCAGGTTTGTGGGGATATTTTGTTGATCTGAGGTTGGTATTAATCATGGAATGACATCAATTGGAAAAGCATTGGAGACCTGGGAACAGTGAACAACTATTTCGCTCTGGTATGGAACTCCTCAGCAGCGCGCATCCATGACCCTACACTATATTGCGAACCGATAGAAATCCGAAATGTGGACCACTGAATTCCTGAGCAGTGAGTCAATGGTAACATGCCGGCGGCAAAACATGAATGTCCCGGGTTCGATCCCTGGCGGTGAGGGGCCATGGGTGAGAATCGCCGAGGAGCCCCATACTGGAACGAAACAGCTTCCCAGCGCTCCCAGGTTTTCAATGTATTGTCCTCCAATTGATATCAGTTCATGATGAGTATCAACCTGAAATACTCTGCTATCGTCCAAACACAGTGCCACAAATTTGTTCTCACCACAGTACATATTGGCTATAAACGGAAGTAGAAAAATAATCCAGCGAAGAAAATCGTATTTTTCGACTATATCATTTTCTAAAGCTGTACAATCGTATTTATATATCAATACATCATAAACACATAACAGTTTATTATAAAACAATAGGGTATATTTGCATCATTAACCTAGTGCTAAAATCAACCGGAATCAAGAATGCAAAGTAGTTGCGTAATAAACTAAGACAGTAGAAATATAGAGGAAGGCAAGAAGTTTGACAAGGTGAAAACTGTTGGTAGATAAAAAACGCAAATATTGAGTGTCCACTTGATGTTGAGACGAAGACCAGATGGTTCTCTTCAGCGATCAATTTATAGGAAGCCTACTTGGAACGCACAATATTTGAAATTCCACAGCTGGATGCCTCTCAGCAGAAAGAGGAATGTAATCCATTCTATATCTTCAAGAATCGGCACCAGTGATACTACTGACGAAGAATTAGATAAACTACGGAAGATCATCATGCAAAATGGATATCCATCCAGATTTATCGATAAGAACTCGAAAGTAAATCACAATACGGAGCGACTACTCACAGTTCCTAAGAATACCTTGTTTACGCACGTTGTTTTCAAAGGCGATACGGCAGCAGAGATCCTGAAGAATCGACTGTCCAGATCACTGAAGAAGACATTTTTCTCTGCAAAACTGTACATCAGCTTCTCTAGTCAACAACTCATTCCGGAGTGCGTTAAGGACAAGTTGCCACTTTGGGCCAACTCGATGTATGGCTACAAATTTACTTGCTCCTGTGGAGCTGGCTATGTAGGCCGCACAAAGTGTACGATTTCCAAACGTATCTCTGAGCACTACTATCCTGCATGGTTGTCAAGTGGAGAATGCAAATCAATTAACAGTTCAATTCTTGAACATTTGGTCAACTCTGGACATGAAGCTAGACCAGAATCTTCCTTCAATGTCATTTATCGTGTCAGATGGAATAGTTCAAAAGGAGTACGCCTTCGACAGTTGTGCACAGCGAATGCATTGGCAATTCATCAATTCAAGCCTGATCTCTGCGTGCAAAAAAGGATATTTAATCTCTCATCTTACCATAGTCTTAACACTTTCACTTTTTTTCGACTTCATTATAATTAATCAGTTTATTACTATCACTTTCATTATGACCCTTGTCTCATTCTTCACCTTCTTTACACCTATCTATCAAGTGGACACTCAATATTTGCGCTTGTTATCTAGCAACAATTTCCATCTTGTCAAACTCCTTGCCTTCCTCTATATTTCTACTGTCTCAATTTATTACGCAACTACTTTGCATTCTTGATTCCGGTTGATTTTAGCACTAGGTTAATGATGCAAATATACCCTATTGTTTTATAATAGACTGTTATATGTTTATGATGTATTGATATATAAATACGATTGTACAGCTTTAGATGATATAGTCGAAAAATAAAATTTTCTTCGCTGAATTATCTCTTCTCTATGACTCAATGGGCATCTTTCGTAGTACAAACGGAGGTTTCAAACATTACAGCAATTTAGTCAACCAACTCACGATGGAACTGTTTCAAAGGCTGTTGTACACCAGTCAGCTAGGATCAACGTGGTAAACAATATAATTAGTACATGTCACATTCAACAGCAAAAAAAACAAGTCAACGTTTAACACTTTATTAGATACAACATTGTAAAAGGGAAAAAAACACATTAAGAACAGGATACAACGAATGTGACCAAAGCATAAAGATAAAGGAAATATTAGCAGTTGTAACAAATGATAAAATTGCTAGCCCTTGATTGGGAAATACATAAAACGGGTTGAGGATAGACAACTTACGCAATATAGATGTGTCTCATCGATGATACCTACACGATTATTTACTCCAGTTAAGCAAGGAAAAAACAATCCTAGGCACAGGTATCCCAGAAATAAAATAATAACTACTATTAAATTGATGGATAAAATACAATGAGATAAAATACCCTGACAAATTATTAAACAAGATATAAAGAGGACTGGGAGAGTCTTTAAACACTGATCACTGTGCTTCTGTTTAACCTCTATGAAGTCACCATAGCACTTGAAGTGATACCAGAAGAAGCTTGACGTGAAGATACATTTGTTCCGGAAATATTACTTCCACCTTGACTAGAAGAATTTGTTAGCACACCTTTTCGTTTTAATAATGCTGGATGTATACAAGGTAGAACACCACCATGACTAATGTGTACATGTTTTAACAATTCATTTAACTCAGAATCATTACGAACACCCAACATGATATGCCTTGGAGTAATGGTCTTCCTGGAATGCAAAATCCAACAAAATGCATTATATTCAACTACTTTATTATTATTATTATTATCAAAAAAGTGGTTAACCTGTTGTCTACGATGTGTAGATAACCATGAAAAACCAGCAACTAACAGTTTACCGAAGGTGAAAAAATGGGTAATTACATTCGCTACGAGCTAGAAGATCTTGCAAGATGAATTCGTGCAACTCTGTTATTTAGTTTAGGATTTTTATCCTAATCATGACCATTAAATTAGACAGAGGTAATGTAACAACGTGGGAACAAGCATCACTGTGTAACGGTTCAAGCGGGAATGTAAAAACGTAAGAAAAAAAAAGAAGAAACTGCTAGAAGGCGATTAAAAGAGAGTAAGGAGGAATGAGAAAATGCTGGAATTCAGGATGAGGACTAAAATAAAGATGTGTGGTTACATGTGCACTGTTGAGATAGATTCTGGGTCATATCATCTAGTCTTTAGCCACTAATTTCGGTTGTCATAAAGACTCCAACTAGGAAGTCTACATTTCAACACACAGTTCAGACTAACAACTAAAGACTTAAGCGCCTATTCCTATGCTTAAGTCTGACAGAATCTTACCACTTTTCCAGCCGGAAGCTACCTCGATTAACACTATGACAGAGCAGACAGCAACTAGGCATGTGTGACACATGTCCCAGTCACCTCAGTTTATGAAAGTTCACAATCTCATCAACTGACATTTACCAAAAACTGTATCCCTTTCAAATCACTGACGTGGTGGGAACAAAACAAATACCTGAAGCATTCTCATGTTTTATAGTCATCTAGGTAAACGGGTATCGTGGCAGAGCCATAGGTGGGATAATTTGAAAAGTCTGTACAGGTAAAGAGGCTAGCTTGACTTTATCTGGGCAGTCCAACCGATAGCCACTACCTTGATATGGTGATCGGGCTTGCGTATCACAATCACCCAAAGAACGCTTGATCCCTCGAGGTTCTACCATGCCAAAAAGATCTGTTGGATAGTGGTAAGATGAAAAGCAGTTACCGTTATAGAATTTACTGCACTATGATGGGGGGTCTGAGGGCGAAGTTGTACTGCTGGTATCTGGATGAGGTGTGACATCAGTAAGTATTTACCTCGGATAACCAGCAGTGCTGCGCTGATGCTGCCTTCTCAAAAAAGGAGGGGGTTAGAAAAGGTCGATCCTAAAAGTAACGCATTCCACTCGAACAGATAACAGTGATCGGCCACTACAACTGTAACCAGACAATCACCTGTTTATAACCAGCACAAACTTCAGACATAAAGAACGACAGTGTCTGACGTGGGCTCTATTCAGCAACAGATAGACCACTAGTCATCGCTGTAGAGGTTAGCTGGAAGACTGTCGCTCCTTCTGGAGCACGTCTTCGGATAGCGACCACGCGCTGGTTTGAGGGCGCATATGTCTGCGTCTCAATGGATGTAGAAAAACTTTAACAACAAGACCATCACGAGTGCACCTCAACAATGAGAACATCAAGGCCACTTTCAATGAGAAGTTGGCTAGGCAGTTATTGCATTAGAACACTATCACTCACCCAGAAGAAACTTGGTGCCATCTCAAGTCTGCTGCAAAGTTAGCGTTGAAGATCGCAGCAGACTCTCAAATAGTTAAAAAGAGCCAGTGGATATCAGCAGCTTCTGAATTAATGGATGCACAACTCATCTCTAAAGACTCCAAGTACAATGAGTGAATACAGCTCAAACTTACCCACAAAAAACCTACGCAATTACCGCGAACAGTGGTGGACAGTGAAGGTCAAAGAAATGGAAAAGGAAGCGATGATAGGTAACAGTGGATAATTATTTAGACTCTTTCAGGAAAGTGGGGCGAAAAGGTCAATGGTTAGTGAGGCTATAGCGGAAAAGGATGGGTCTGGAATTCACTCGCAGGGAGACGACTAGAATGATAGACAGAACACTTCGAGGAATAGTTCAACTGGTCTCCAGCTACTACTGCATTACCCGCTATCCAGTTGGATCCTGAATGGAACATTGAGATAGAAGCAGCAACATTAGCAGAAGTCGAGAAAGTGGTAGGTAAATTGAAACGGAAAAGGGCAGTAGGTTCAAACGAAATCATTCCTGAGGTATGTAAGAACGGGGGTTGAGTGATTTCAATCAAGTTAACTGACGTACTAACTAGTGTATGGGAGACAAATATGATCCACTCTGACTGGTTTCAATCACTGATTATCCCAATCTTTAAGGAAGGCTAGAAATCCTCTATTGATAACCGCAAAGGAATCAGTCTAACGGACGTAATGTTGAAGATTCTACGTCCTATAATCACTAGACTCCTAAGTAGAACTCGGGAACATCAAACCCGAAAAAACTAGGCAGGCTTCAGACCTGGCCGTGCGTGTATCGACCAAAAATTTACACTCCGCAGGTTCTGGTGGCATGCTTACCGACACTCGACAATAGCTACATTCCTCGACCGGAATGCGGTATTCGACTCTGTCGGTCAAGACGTCTTATGGCAATATCTCTCACTGAAAGGAGTACCGAATAAGTACATCAACCTTATTAAAGGTTCTTTACTTGAACACTTGTGGGTGTGTTAGCCACCGTCTCACAGTAGAACAAGGGGACAAACTCAACAAAAGCGAAATATACTCATGCTTTAATGTATAGTCGGATATTTCACCGGCGCCACAAAGGATGAAAGTTGGCTATTGCCAAACACGTTTCTCTATCCGAGGTGAGATTTCGTCAGCTGATACAACCTCAAGTAAGTGAAGTGGTCCACACATCCAGCCACTCCACTCCCTACCATTAAACAGGGAGTAGATGCAGACCCTTTCTAAAGCGTCATCTTATATTTGACAGGTATGAAATACAAGCCAAACATTCTCAGATTTCCGCTAAACACCTTCAAAAGACCCTGCATTGCGTCAGCCGCTTCACAGAACAATATCGTCTGTATACTCCAAGTCCAACAAATGCCCTCAAGGGAGTAGGTAAATTCCTGAGAAGTAGGACGTACCTAAAGTTATGTCAATTAGTACATCGATAACAAAATCAAATAGCGATGATGGCGTTGGATATCCCTGGCGAACATCGCTAGTTTCCTCCAATTCACATGACAACTTTCCATAAGGTTTTACACGCCTGCCCGAGTTCTAGAGGAGGGAGCTTTATCTAGAGTTACAAACGCTCGGTACTCCTTTCAGTCAGACACTACAACACCTCATAGTCGACAGAGTCAAATGTCGCCTTCAGATCATCAAATACGGAGTGTTGGTCACCGATATGTTTGTTTTAGAACCCGTCGAAGAGGGAGAATATGATCGGTACATCCTAGTTCAAATCTGAAACCTTCATAGTGTTTTCGATTTCGCTGTTTTCCAGCTCCATTTAGGCGTCGGACAGCTATGGACCCCAGAATCTCGGACACGATGTTAGACTTATTCCCTCAATGTTTGTCACAAGAGGATTTTTCTCCTTAAGAACTGGAATGATCAGTGAAGCAAACCAGCCAGACAGCAATACTTCTGAACCCCGATACACTAATTTTTATCTTTCTTACTGTACCCATCAATTCCCTACCTACGTTAATAAAATTTTATGTAGCGAACCCTCTGGTCTAGCTCCTCTGCACTGTTCCGGGTTTGGAACACCTTTCTCAACTCCAACGAGTGTTTGGAGACCAGTATTTACGTCCCATTTAAATTAGGGCTGGATGCTGGCTGGGTAACAGGCGTTTTTGTGGGCCTGTTAGACAGCTGTCCCAACGTCCTAGCCACTTTTTCCAGTCAACGTCTCATCCTTTTCGATGATGGTTCCACTAACAATCATTTTCTTCTTGCCAGTATCCTTAGTAAGACTAAATAGTTGCCGGGTATTACGTAACGCTAAAGCCTTCTCTATCTCTGGCTCTAGCCACCCACTAATTCTTACGATCGGCGCGAAAACCCTTGGTTAACTCACGTTTAAGTTGCTTTATTTCTTGATCGTGGTCAGAGCCAACTGGAATCAGTTTTCTCGCGCCAGTCCGCATGGAAGACTTTGAGGAAATCCAATGACCTTTGCTAACCTTTGGGTGTACGTTACCAATTGTCTTTTAACGCTGTTTCTATGGCAGACTTAATATCACGCCAGGTTTCCTTAAGATCAGTATACCTTGTTCAGATAAATGCTTAGCTAATTCCTCCTTAAATACGTACTTTGCGCTTGCATCGTCCAATCGAGAACAATTGGTTGTTTCCCGCGACCAGTAAGGCGCAGACATACACGTGCTCATCCCAACGCGTGATCGGAGAGTAGACAGGTACTCCAGAAACAGCCGCAATCCTACGCCGATGGCTTATAGCAATATGACCTGTCTGTGGTTTGAAGTCAGTGGATGCTACATGAGACAGTGTCCTTTCCTATGCTCCTCATCAACAAAATTGTAACAGACTATCATCGTTATCGGTTTGTTGGCATAAGATTCTGTAAGTAACTCCCAAGATGCTTTTCCGATGAGCCCAGTTCAGCTACTTGAGCGTTATAGTCACCTGCCATTATGACTACATCCGAACGCTTTGCCTTCTGTAGCAAAATTGACAGCTTCTTATAGAACTCATCCTTTGTATCATCCGAACTGCAGTCAGCGTGTGCACAGGCGGAGATTGCGAATAACCATCAGTTGGTCACACAACTCTTTTGTTTTTACAGATCTGTTTAGTCGAACAGCATATAGACGGTCATTGACTGGTATCCGATCGAGAAGTGAACTTTTTGCTAAACAACTAAGTGCTATGCCTACACCAGGGAGTCCACAAGCACTAGCGTTTGGATCTCCGGATACTCTTAAGGTGAATTTTGAAGATTCACTAATATGACACTCCGGTCCTGTATGTGTCTCACAGATATACATCCATGGGCAGAGATTCCATAGTTTTGGAGAGTTAAGCATGCTGTCCAATTTGGCATAGCTCAGATGTTGAAAGCTCCTATATGAAGTCAATGGAAACTATGAATGAGATTTGGATGGCTTTGATCGCTGGCAATGCTTGCAGAATGAGAGGTTGCGTGAGGTGCATGAGGCTGAATTTTAGTATCAGGAGGTCGAAGGGGAAAAAGAGACAAAGTTGAGAAAAATAGGTTACGTTTGATTGGGTCTTGTATACTACTGGAAGCTTGTGGGTAAGTGACCCCTTCTCCGCTGCCCACATCGTGGAAGGCCACTTCTTTTAAAGGTACCTGAGAGAAAAAAGGACTTATCATCTCAGATCTTATCGCAAATCTGCTTGGGGCCTGTCACATAGCCTTTGGAAGATCGTTGGCGTGATTTGACTGTTCCAACGCCAAGAAGAGAAAACCTATTATACTATCATACTCTATTGTCTCGTTCACAGTATGGTTTTTGTAGAAATTTCTCTGGTTTGACGAACCTTCTTACGGCCAGAGAAAGTTGGGTTAAGTCTAAAATGATAGGATACCTGTGGATGTCATTTTCATAGTAAGGCGTTCGAAAAGGTACCCCATTCCAGGTCGCTCGGGAAACTGGAATGTTTTGGAATCACTGGCAGTCTGCTCGCGTAGACAAGAGTTCCTTGTTGGTAGGAGACAAAGAGCAAGGATCAATCTTCAACTCTCCACTTGGAAGTCAGTAGACAGTGGAGTGCCACAAAGTAGTCCAGGGCTCCCTGCTGTATTTCCCAGACGTAAATAAGCTGCCAAATACCACGCTGATAATGTAAAACTGGCGGGAAATTAGGAACAACGAGGATATATGTGTACTTCAGACAGACCTAAACAGCTTGTTTACATGGTCAGAGAAGTGGTTGATGCCTATCAATGCAAGTAAATGTGTGAGCACGAACTTGGGTCACACACATGGCAACACCCACGATATTAATGGGACTCTTTTATCATCAATACTGACCCACCATGACTGAGAAGTCACAGTGAGTTATGACTTGAAAACCATGGCACACTGTCAACCGGTAGCAGCTCGGAGTTTTACGACACTCGGCATTACGTAGAACATTTCAAAAAATAAGTGGTGATACGTTCACCATCTTATACACATCCTTAGTTGGGTGTAAATTAGAAAACTGTACACAAGTGGAAAATTCTTGTCTGAAAGGTGACGCAAACCTAAAAAGAGTTCAGAGGGCAGCCATTAGTAGGATCCCTGCGATGACTGGCCTCACCTATGAAGATAGACTTAAGGAGCTGAATCTTTTCTCTTTATCCAATCGCAGACACAGGGAAGATCTAATCATGATATACAGGACTCTAACAAATGACAACGGACCTGACCTATCTTCTTTTCCTTCCCACTAGAACGGAATAACTCAGACAACATAGTACGGAGGCTAGAAAAGCAAAGGACAAACATAGTCTCCAGAGAGTACTGACTCTCGCATCGAGTAATCAACACATGGAACCAATTTCCAGAAGTGGTGTCCGCATCATTAACTGACACGTTCAAAAGGGAATTGGACAAGCACAGAAATCTACTAGAAAAGGATTAATATAGGCTGCCAGCCTCTCATCCTCAAAAAACAAATCTTAAACCTATCACATGGAAAATTAGTGCCGGCTAACGAAAAAGTAAGAATTAGTTGGCCCAAGTCCATAGTTTAATGCCAGGCATAATCAGTAAGTAAATCAAAGATTGAAGTTAGGGGAAAATAATGGAAGACCATGTTAAAACTACCTTCGACCATTTACAGAACCATACATACACATAATATCCAGCAACCTCGCCTGGTTAACTAGTTCACTGGTTACTACACGGTCCTGAGCCCGGGTAAAGAGGAAAGGTTCGGCATAAGGTTAGCAACCCTACCCGTAAAACCAATCCAACCGCTAAAGAAACTTGAAAGCACAAAGAAAATACAAAAAATAAAAATAGACTTATTCCTCACCGGGATCGGAGATACGAAAGGACGCCGGCTGGTGAAAACCTTCGGGAAGCCAGTCGGCTAATGTCTTTTCTCGATGAAAGCGAAAGTAAGGATGTGGACATGGAATGTCCACACCATGTACGAACCTACCAAGGCTGTCCAGATTGCAATAGAGATGGGGAGGTATGGCATGGAAGTGCTTGGAATCTGCGACAGCAGATGGAATGGAAGTGGACTCTCCAAACTCTTAACTGGAGAGTCAATAATCCACGCCGATATTGTCACCCAGACAACAACCACGAGCACACTGAGTTTTGGAGTGGCTATCATGATGTCCCCTTGAAGAGCATCGAAGGCTCTCATGCAGTGGGAACCAATCTCCTCCTCCAGCATCAGCATCATGACAGCAAGATTCAACTCAAAAGGAAGGAAAGTCACATTCATTCAATGCTACACGCCAACAAATAACGTAGACCAAGAGAAGAAGGAGGAATTCTACAGACAACTGCAATCAGTACCAGACAAGACTCCGCCCCAGTTGGCGACATCAAAATTCTAATGGGTGGGGTGACATGAATGCCAAACTCGGAGCGGACAACACAGGAAAAGAACTGATCGTGGGTTGAGAAGCACTCGGTGAAATGAACGAGAACGAAGAATCGTGTGCAGGATTCTGTACATTCAACGATTCGGTGATTAGAGGCGATGCAGTGGGTACAAACACAAGGATATCCACAAAGCGAGCGACATAGATTTCACCAGATGGACACTACACTAAAAATCAGATCGACTTCATCTCAATGTGAAGAAAGTGGAGACGCAGCCTACTGGACACAAGATGAAGAAGAGGAGCAGATGTAGGTGGACACCACTCACTGTCTACTGCAAGGAACCTACTTTGAAAATCAAGTTGAAAGCCTTCAAAGAAGCTGGTGATAGGCCACAGTTCAAGTTCAGCACCCAGAACAGAAACTGAAGGATGAAACTACAAAAGACATCTTCACGTCGTCAGTCATCAAGAATAAATGGGAGACATTAGGCAACACCCACGAGGAAACCTGGGTGGAAGGAAGTGACGTGGGAGGAAACTTGCACAACCGTATAAGGAAGGAAGAAGAAACAAGACAAGTAATGGATCTCGACGGACACACTGCACTGAACTGATCATAATGCGTGAACAAGATCTGGATTTTTAACACTGATGCAGTCAAGTGAGTAAGTGCTTCTATGTGGTTCAGAGATTCGGCACGTTACGAAAAGCATTCCCAACAAACTAGAGACATTCATCAACAACTGCCTACGCTGGCTCGTTACTGAAGATCAGACGAGGAGGCGAGAAATGATAACAAGGAAGTCACTGGCAACGAACCAAAGAGGGACCTCTCACCCAACAAATATGCGCTGGAAGAAAGGTGAGATGGACTGGGCATACAGTGAGAAGGCCGATTGGGGACATTACGCGCCAGGTCAGGCCGTCGAGTGAAATCCAAACGGGAAACGACGACTTGGGTGTCCGAGGGTGACACGGAGATCGTATGATGAAGAGAGTGAAATGGCGATGTGCTATTGGAGCCCTGTTCCATTAGAAACCCAAGAGACAAATAAATAAATAAACGCTATCCAGTATTCGTCCCAGCGTCAACTTAAGCTGTAACTAGCTACCATATTACAGTGTCCCATAGTGTATATTCTATGGGGTAAACGGAAATATTCGATCATGATGTCAGCCTTCTGATAAGAGAAATCGACAGGATTCTGATGAGACCGTCCCGGACTGATAGTGTTAGATAAATACTCTAATTCCCGACGTCAATTTAGAGTGAACAGTCAAGTTGTCCTAAACGTTAGCAGTAGAAAGACGAACTCTAGACGCATAAGCAACGGATTCTGTCTCATTATTCGTCTACGCAGACGCATAAACTGAGTATTTACAGACATTTTAGAAACTCTAACAAATACATAGGTGCAATGCGACAGAGATTCAAGAAATTATCCCTTACCTTTTATTTGCTTTCGCAGCATTTCCGGATAGTTCATTTACCTCAGCCACCAGGTATTCTATGACAGCAGACATGTATACTGATGCAGCAATAGACGTCCGCCTTGCATAACGACCCTTCTTCATATACCGATGAACCCTGCTAACCGAAATCACCAGACCGGCTCTATTAGACTTAGTATGCTTCTTTCCACCAGCTGCTTTCCTTGCTTTGCCTCTCCCAGACATAATTTACAACCTCAACTTGACCTTAGAAAGACAGAGAACCAGGTACGCGGCGTACCTAGAAAATTAACGACTTAAACAAAACTCGCAGAAAATAGCAATAAATACTCTTAAACAGGTAGTCGACTACAACAACGTGTTACAAGCTGTAGTCATAGGTACCTTGCTAATAGCCTAATCTGTGTCGACGGATTACTTGGAGAGCTACTATCTAGTGTTTACTGATTCAATATCCAATATCTTCATACTAGCCAGTGTGTAACAACTGGTTTCTTCACCCTTGCTTTTAGATGCTGCGGAACGATTTTAGGTCTTTGGTGGATTCCGATACATTAGGTCTACCTACTCGCCTGCCGTAGCTCTTGTTAGCCCGATGGGTGTTTGAGAATTGATTACAATTTTCGGGATTGCATGAATTTTTCAACAATTGTGGTGCAGATGAGTTCACCAAGTGTCGTACTACCAGGTGGTTGTTCGGATTAATTGCCAAAGGAACATGAAGAAGATTTTCAGCGAAATAAACGGAGATGAAGTGCGTAGAAGTAAAAACAAGGTGGAAGGAAACGGAACAGAAGCGAAACGGAAACCTAGATAGATGCACGGAACATAAGTTATGAGGAGAACTTTAATTGATGGTGGGAGATGATAGTAACAGAGAAGAGCCGAAGTGGGTAACATTACAAGACGGCTTACGGGAATAGAAGGAGTAATGCTGTTGGTGGGAGGAGGTAACTGGGGAAGACGTCTAACAGGAAAGTACGAAGTTGGACTGAGTTCACGACGATTAATTATCGTTATTATTTTACCTTGGGTTCCTAGTGCAACATGGGGCTTCAGCAGCACGCCTCCATTGCACTCTCTTCTCTGCAGTCTTTCCAGCCTGGCCCCACAACTGCCCACACGCTTCCATTTCTTCCTCACATGATCTCCTCCATGTCGCCCTCACCTCGAACGGCCAACCCATCGTTTCCCCTTTGGATTCCACTAGGTGGCCTGACGCGTGATGTCCCCAGTTCACCTTCTCAGTGTAGGCCCAGTCCATCTCCACTTCCTTCTGCATGTGTGTTGGGCGAAAGATTCTTGGTTAGTTCCTTGTTGCTTGTTATTTCTCGCCTCCTCATCTGATCTTCGGTATCGAGTGAGCGCAGGCGACAGCTGTTGATGAATGTGTGCAGTTTGTTGGAAATGCTTTTCGTGACGCGCCAAGTTTCTGGACCATAAAGCAGCAGTGACTTGACATTAGTGTTAAAAATCCGGATGTTGTTCACGCTTTATGTTGACTACAGTAGATCTCTACACTGATTTCAGGTTAATGAAAGCCCGTCTTGCTGTATTTCCGATTACGCTTTTGACATCCTCATCTGTGCAACCACCACCGCTGTAGTTGAAACGATGCTGCCTAGGTGAACGGGTGAAATGGATTACCTCCTTTAGGTTTCTCCCGTTCATAGTGATTGGCGCTTGTCGTTGTTCTTGTTGGTTGTGCATCGTCGTCACTGCTGTCTTCCCTACTTTCACTTGATGTCCTGTCTTCGCTATCCTGCCCTGCCTCTTCTGTCAACTCGTTAGTTTTCAACTGTAGATCTTTGAGTTTGTGCGACAAGACGTCAAACATAGATCATCATGGGCAAAATCCAAGTCTTCTGGGCTCTTTTCATCGGTCCAGCCAGCGTATGCCCATCTTCTCGCTCCTCACGATTTTCTGCATGATCCAGTAGATGAAAGTCAGGAAGATCATCGGTGATAGTAGGTGGCAGCCTTGTGCTACTCCTGTCTTCACTTCAAATGTGTCGCTAAGCTTTCCATTGTGGATCGCTTGGCATGTGGTGTCTTCATATAGCTATTGAATGAGGTTGATAAAAACTGGTGACACCCCGTAGTGTTGAAGCAACAGCCAAATTACTATTCGCTGCACAACTCGATCGAAGGCCTTTTCAAAGTCGCTGAAGTTGAGGCAGAGATTTGATTGCCATTATCTACTCCGTTTTATGATGATGCGCAGCGTTGCAATTTGATCCTCACATGATTTGTTCTTCCTGAAGTCAGCCTATTCGGTCGTAATGTTGAATCCAGCACATCCTTTAGTCTCTCCAGGGTGATGCCACCTAGTATTTTGCTTGGGGTGGACAGCAGCATGATTCCTCGCCAGTTCTTGCAAAGGTTTAGATTTCTCTTCTTCGAAAGTTTGACAGCGTAGCCCCCCTGCAGTCCGCAGGTACCTTTCCTTCATTCCTTCAAAACCTCCTGCAGTAGTGGCGTGTGTCCGCGGTTGTTTTTGCGTCTGTTCTCAGTGCTTCTGGCAGAATTCCATCTGGTTCTGCTGCCTTCCGGCACTTAAACAGTTTTATGGCATTCAGGACTTGTGCTTTTGTCGGAGGGCCTATGTTCGCTGGTAGTTCTGTCGTTACAGGTGGTATTTCTGGACGAGTTGGAGGTGGTGATCGATCCAGGAGCTTTCTGTATTGGTCAGCCCATTGTTTCCTTTTTATTTCTCCGCCTTGGTAACTAAGTTTCCCTCAGTATCTTTCATGAGTTTCGTCTGCATCAATCTCTTCCCAGATAGTAAACCGTTCATTTGATATAATGTTATCAGGTCTATCCGATCAGCAGCCTGTTCTGCTTCACTTGCCAGTGTCGTAAAAGAGTCGTTTACCTTCGCGTGCACGCTTTTTCACTTATTTGTGCAGTGTTTTGTACGTTGTGCTCAGCTCCTGTTTTCGCTGGGCATCCTTGCACTGGTTCATCTTTTGCTTCAACATCTTCCTCTCTCGTCACCATCAGCTTCCTATATTCACGGAGATCATTGTCTTGTTTCTTCCTCCTTCCTTATACGGTTATGCAAGTTTCCTCCCACGTCACTTCCTTCCACCCAGGTTTCCTCGTGGGTGTTGCCTAATGTCTCCCATTTATTCTTGATGACTGACGACGTGAAGATGTCTTTTGTAGTTTCATCCTTCAGTTTCTGTTCTGGGTGCTGAACTTGAACTGTGGCCTATCACCAGCTTCTTTGAAGGCTTTCAACTTGATTTTCAAAGTAGGTTCCTTGCAGTAGACAGTGAGTGGTGTCCACCTACATCTGCTCCTCTTCTTCATCTTGTGTCCAGTAGGCTGCGTCTCCACTTTCTTCACATTGAGATGAAGTCGATCTGATTTTTAGTGTAGTGTCCATCTGGTGAAATCTATGTCGCTCGCTTTGTGGATATCCTTGTGTTTGTACCCACTGCATCGCCTCTAATCACCGAATCGTTGAATGTACAGAATCCTGCACACGATTCTTCGTTCTCGTTCATTTCACCGAGTGCTTCTCAACCCACGATCAGTTCTTTTCCTGTGTTGTCCGCTCCGAGTTTGGCATTCATGTCACCCCACCCATTAGAATTTTGATGTCGCCAACTGGGGCGGAGTCTTGTCTGGTACTGATTGCAGTTGTCTGTAGAATTCCTCCTTCTTCTCTTGGTCTACGTTATTTGTTGGCGTGTAGCATTGAATGAATGTGACTTTCCTTCCTTTTGAGTTGAATCTTGCTGTCATGATGCTGATGCTGGAGGAGGAGATTGGTTCCCACTGCATGAGAGCCTTCGATGCTCTTCAAGGGGACATCATGATAGCCACTCCAAAACTCAGTGTGCTCGTGGTTGTTGTCTGGGTGACAATATCGGCGTGGATTATTGACTCTCCAGTTAAGAGTTTGGAGAGTCCACTTCCATTCCATCTGCTGTCGCAGATTCCAAGCACTTCCATGCCATACCTCCCCATCTCTATTGCAATCTGGACAGCCTTGGTAGGTTCGTACATGGTGTGGACATTCCATGTCCACATCCTTACTTTCGCTTTCATCGAGAAAAGACATTAGCCGACTGGCTTCCCGAAGGTTTTCACCAGCCGGCGTCCTTTCGTATCTCCGATCCCGGTGAGGAATAAGTCTGTTTTTATTTTTTTGTATTTTCTTTGTGCTTTCAAGTTTCTTTAGCGGTTGGATTGGTTTTACGGGTAGGGTTGCCAACCTTATGCCGAACCTTTCCTCTTTACCCGGGCTGAGGACCGTGTAGTAACCAGTGAACTAGTTAACCAGTCCAGGTTGAGTTCAGAGTGGTATTGGTGGTAAAAATATTCGGTTTTCATATAGGTGTGTTGTGCCGTCTATGGCCGGCAGTTTGCTTTGCCCTGATCCCTATCGCTGTTGCATGGAACGTAGGTGATGAGCCACTGCTTCGTTGTCCGACCTTCTTATAAGGCTGTCGGCGGGTGGGGCATTATAATTCTTGGTAGGCAGCGCGTTCCACTGACCGCAAACCGGTAGGGAGGAGAAGTGTGAACGCACATGTGTCTCTGCACCTTGGTGGTTGATTCTTCTCAGGTTACCCCAGGGACTGTCACATTTGCCGCTCGGTTGGATTCCATTGTTCGGTTGATCTATGTTACCTAGCATTTTGTAAGCCGTTATCAAGTCCCCACGTGGCCCGCAGTAGAAAAGTAAGCAAAGCTCGGGGTCTAACGGCCTATCTTCATTGGCTTTTTGCTGCATTCTCATGACACTCTGCGTTGCTTGCTCCTGAGCTTTCTCTGGGTTGTTCTCATTTCTCTTCAGGCGTGGTGGCGCAAAGACGTTGTGGACCCCTAAATGTGGTCGTATATAAGTCTTGCACAACTCAGGAAGAGTCCCGAAGTTAAAGCACCCAGTTGTCTATGCAGGAAGTGCAGCACTGAGATGACTCATTAAGCATCTGCCAAATAATCGGGTCAGCCACCTGGCTCGTCGGCCAGTGCTAGTCCCAAGCCCTTCTCTGTGCTAGTGCTGGAAAGCTGCGTTCAACACTGTCAGTGAGATACTTTTTGGGACATGGGTGCAGAAAGGTATGGTTCGGCATTTATCCAGGTTAAATCCCAGCCCATCATTATTCGCCCGTTTTACCAGCAACCCCTGGATCATTTTGCAGTGCCACAGATTTCCATAACTTGACATCGTCAGTATAGGGTGGAATCGTGGAACTAAAATACAATAG